TCAATTGTGTTTTTTGAATCCAGGAACAGCTGTATCTAATAGAGTATTTTTATCATGTGGGCGTGGCTTCTGGAGTTCAGCTGAGAAGGTTTGAGATTATGTACCTTCCCAGAATGCCTTGTTCCTTTCCACCCTTGAGAGACGTTTGTCCCAGCTGCTCCTGTGAGCTTTGCTCTTTTCTTCTTTCTTCTTTTTTTGAGACAGGGACTTACATAGCCCAGGCTAGCCTTGAACTCACTACACATTTGTGGTTGCTTGCATAAGAATGGGTCCCTCTCTTAGGTAGGGTTTTATTGCTGTGAGGAGACACCCTGGCTAAGGCAACTCTGATAACGGCAAACATTTACTTTGGGCTGGCTTACAGACTCAGAAGTTTAATCCATTATCATCATGGCAGGAAGCATGGCAGTGTTCAGGCAGACTTGGTGCTGGAGTCACAGAGTTCTGCATCCTGATCCAAAGGCAGCCAGGAGAAGACTGAAATTTTGTCTCACGCTGGGCACAGCTTGAGCATTTAAGACCTCAAAAGCCCGGCTCCACAGTGACAAACCTCCCCTAACAAGGCCACACCTCCTAACAGCCCCACCTCCTATGGGCCAAGCATTCAAACACTGCGTCTACGGAAGCCAAACCTATTCAAACCACCACACTGCATGGCCCCGTAGGCTTGTAGTTATAACACAATACAAAAGTCCCCATACAGCCTCAGCAACATTTATAAAATCAGAATTAAAACGCAGAGCACATACTGCCAGCATACCACGGCACAGGCAGGCTATACGCTAACATTCCAAAATGCAGGGAAGGAAGCACGGCGCGGAAAACTGAACCAAAGCAAGACTGAGAACCGGCTTGGCAAACGCCAAACTCTGCATCTCCACGATGCAGACATCTCCATGATGACATCAAGACACTCTCCAGATCGCCAAGTCCTTTCATCTGTGTTAACTGCAACACTCCTCTCTCTCTCTCTCTCTCTCTCTCTCTCTCTCTCTCTCTCTCTCTCTCGGGCTTGCTCTACTCCCTGTTAGCAGCTTTCCTTGGCAGGTATCCCACGGCTCTGGCATGTCTAACCTCTTGGGGTCTCCAAATCAATCACGGCTTCTTGAACACAGCTTCTGCTCCTGCTGTTCTTGGTGGTCAGCCCATGGTACTGGCATCTCCAAAACAATGGGGTCTCCCACTGCAACCGGGCCGCCCTTTCACCAGTGGCCTCGTAGACTCTCCTCACAGCGCCAAGCCTCAGCGGTTCTTCATGACCCCTTCATGCCTTCAAAACCACTATCACCTGGGTGATAGACATTAGATAGACTTAGGCATCACCAAGCCCAACTGCCAGCACAAGGTAGAACCTTGGCCACCTCCTACAATCGCCTTTCTGGGCCTCCATGCAGGGACACCCCTGAAACATTCATGGCCTCAGTGGCTTTCCTTAGTTGCAGAGGAAAATTCCATCCTTGATTCTGAAGTCAGAACCTCGTGGCTGAAGCTGCCAAGTTCTGCTACTTGCTGGGGCTGGAACATGGCTCCCTTGTTCATTTATAACTTCACCAGCTTTCTGTTTGTAATGGCTTCTTTCACTGCCTAAGCTTGGCTATTCTGTAACTTGCTCTGTAGACCAAACTAACCTTGAACTCTCCTAAATGCTAGGATTAAAGGTGTGCACCACCACTCCTGGGCCTAAGTTTTTTTTCTTCATAAGCATGGCCTCTATGTCTCAATCCAGATCAAAAGCATATGTCATTGAACCTAGAGATCCAGATCAAAAGCCTATGTCTTCCAGCCTCAAGTGGTGGCTCACACCTGTAATCCCAGCACCCAAGGAGGCAGAGGAAGGTAGATCTCTGTGAGTGCAAGGCCGTCCTGGTCTACAAAGCAAGTCCAGAATGGCCAACTCTACACAGAGAAACCCAGTCTCAAACAAACAAACAAAAAAGATCACAGGCTGCCCTCCATTTTTAACTGTAGTTCATTTCAGATATAGTCAAGTTAATTACCAAGAATAGCCATCACAATCCACCCCATGTTAACCTGAGACACAGCCATCTCTCCTTATGTCCAAATGAAAACAATAACCAGGTCATAATAATGCCTAACATGCTATAATTATGCCTCATAGTAAATTTAGAATAGGTGGCAATGTCCCTTTTTCAAACATCCTTCTCACAAGATAGAAGCTTAGCTGGGTGGGCTCCCTTTATTCCATTTAATATTTTTAATCTCTTTTACTCCATGAACACAGGACTTGGCTCTATTCCACTTCCTGGTACTCCTTTAACCCCTGAACCTCACATTTATATTTTTCCTTTCTCAGCTTGCTATCAAAATGCTCTTCATAAACATGAACCACAGGACAGAGTCTGCGCTAGGCTGTTTTGAGATTTCCTTTGCCAAAGCAATTAATCTAAATCTCTTCACCTTAGCCTCAGGCAGATCCTTTTAGACAAGGGCAAAAAGCAGTCACATTCTTCACCAAAATATCACAAGAGCGATCTCTGGGCAACATCCTAAAATTCTTCTCCCCTGAAAGCTCGAGCCAAGCTCCATATCCAAATCACCCTCAGCACCACTGTCTTCCATGCTTCTACTAGGACGGCCCATGAAGCCCAACTTAAAGCCTCCTATTGCTTTCCTAATCCAAAGTCCCCAAACCCACATTCCTCCAAGCAAAAGCAAGGTCAGGCCTATCACAGCAGTACCCCAGCCTCTGGTACAAATTCTGTCTTGGTTAGGGTTTTCTTGCTGTGAAGTGTCACCATCACCAGGGCAACTCTTACAAAGGAAAACATTTAATTAGGGCTGGCTTACAGTTCAGAGGTTTAGTCCATTGGTCACCATGGTTTCAGAAGCATGGCAGCGTGCAGGCAGCACATGCTTGTAACTCGAGCACTGAGGTGGAAGAGGCAAGTGGGTCCCTGAGATTCACTGGCCAGGCAGCCTAGGTGAATTCCAAGTTAATGACAGACATTAACACACACACAACTATGCACACACACACACACACAAAATGCACACATAAAATCTTTCAATTTAATTTTTTTTTTAAAGTAAAAGGATAAAGAGGCCTAAGAACACAGCTTGCTTGTTGTAGGTGATATTCTGTGTCTGATCCCCAATATGAGGACAAACCCAATTCTCCCACAAGTGGTATACAGGATGAAGTATGTCCACTGCATTTCCTAATGTCTGCTTACCTGTTTTGAAATGCATCCAAAATGAAGATTGATGGATGGAAAGATTATGGTCCACCAAAGTGTTAGCTATAGAATCAGGTGTTGGGAAATCATGGCTATCACTATACTGTTCTTTTAAACTTCCTGAAAGTTTAACATTTTTAAGAAGATTGAAGTGGGGGGGAGCCAAGTCTTAATGAACTACACCTGCATTCAATCCCATCCATAAATGTCAAAAACTGAAGACTGAGTGAGAAGAGCAAAACAGAGCCAATGCTTTGTTACGGAAAGTTTAGGACCAGGGACTGGGAGTGTGGCTCAGTGGTAGAGCACCGGCCTAGAATCCCCCAGTGAGGGGCTGGGGTGTGGCTCAGTGGTAGAGCCCCTGCCTATAACCCCCCAGTGAGGGGCTGGGGTGTGGCTCAGTGGTAGAGCCCCTGCCTCTAATCCCCCAGTGAGGGGCTGGGGTGTGGCTCAGTGGTAGAGCCCCTGCCTATAACCCCCCAGTGAGGGGCTGGGGTGTGGCTCATGGTAGAACCCCTGCCTATAACTCCCCAGTGAGGGGCTGGGGTGTGGCTCAGTGGTGGAGCACCTGCCTATAACCCCCCAGCGAGGCAGCTGAACACGTGGCTCAGCAGCAGAGTGCTTGCTTACTATACAGAAGCCCCTGGATTCAATCTCCATGGAATAAAAAGTAACAGTGCTCCTGAATGGGCAAAACCAGTCTCAGCTGGAGCTGAGTGTGCTGCTCCAGGTGGGACCTGACTGGAAGAGGACCAGAGGGTGGGGGGGACACAGAACACAGTGTGGGTGTGAACTACACAGTTTGCTAGTTGGTGAGAAGCTGTCATCCTGGCGTGTGTGCCCTGTGTACATCTTCCTGACACTTCAGTTGTCGTGAAGCTTGTGGAGTCCTTTCTCACCTTGCCTGAGGCAGGGTGAGTAAGCACTCTCCTTTACAGACCAAAAGCTTTCGAGCGTGTAAGAGCTCTTTCTGTGCAAGCAGGAGGAGCTGAGTTCAAATCCCAAGCACCCGGTACAAAAATCGGGGTGTGGCCAGGTCTGAAACCCCAGGGCTGTGGGGGTGAAAACAGGAGGGTCACTGCAGCTTGCTGTCTGCCAGCCTAGACACACATTCAGCAAGAGACTCAAAGGAGGAAGGCAGAGAGGAGTTTGTAAAGCAGACATGATGGCATCTTTTAGAAAGCAGTGCGCATACACCCAACCCCCGTCACACAGTTTACAAAGTAATCATAATTAATCTTTCAAAAAGTTTTCTCCAAAGCCATGCCTATTTTTCTGAGCCCAGTGTTGGGGACCTTCTGAGGGCTGTTTATTTTAGGGACATTCTCTTTCTGGTTCCTGGTTCCTGGTTCCATTTCTGAGCAAACATGAGTCTCTCGTGGTAGAAACAGCTGCCTTCTACATCACCCCTCCCAGTGAAGAATTCCAAGACCCCTCTTTCCAAACTACCCCAGAAAAACGTAAGAAAAAAAAAAAAGAAGGCACACCCCTCCTAAGCCCACACTGGGACCCCATGGTTGATGACCCAGGCTGGGCCAACTTCACCCATTTAAAGCCGATGGGCTGGCCACCTTGGACTCAGCACCCAAGCCCAGCAATGTCCCCACCCTAGGAGCATCCCTCACCACTTACAGCCAGGCCTCCAAAGCCTTGGGCTCAAACCCGCCCCTCCCCCTTCCTTATCTCTTTTTTTTTCTAACCTTTTGCAATTTTTTTTCAAGTCTCGTTTCCTGTCTGGTTTTGCATTTTTTTCTCCCCCGCCCCTACCAGCCTATGACACACTTTCTCTCTGTCTCTTCTCTCTCTTCTCTTTCTTTCCTTTCTCCCTTGTTTCTCTCTCCTCTCTTTGAGCCCTCTTATCCTGGGACTCCTAAAGGCGCTTCCCCGACGGTCTGCAAGGCCCCGGGAGGGTGGCAGCCTCAGCCAGGTACACGCGGGAGACCGGATCCCAGCTCTGGAGGAAGCTGGAGGGCAACGTGGAGGAAGCACCCCGCGCCTGCAGAGCATGAACACCCCAGGTAGGCGCAGCAGGGCTGGGGCTGGGGACTGAAGAGGGGCTGTTGCTCGGACACCCGGACACGGTGAAGTTCCGGAGGCAGCAGGGTGTGGAGGGCTGATACCGTTCCGCTCTGCAGCCCCTCCCCTCGTTCTCTCCGCTAAGGGTTCTGGACCTCACTCTGCAATTCTTGGGTCACTAACTGCAAACACCCCTGGCTTGGCCCTAGCAAAGCTCGGAGAGAAGGGGAATGAATGGGGAGCCCGGCCCTGTCCTTGCACCTGCTCCAGAGGAGGAATAGAACTTGACTCACACATGAATGGCCGGAAGTTTACAGCGAACAGCCCAGCCTAACTCAGGGGCTCTTGAGAAGGTGGCCCTCCTTGCTCTCCAAAGAGAGGTGCCAGGGCAAAGGATGGTCCTCCGGTGGCTTGTGTATTGGGGACCAGTGGTTTGCCGCTTAGAGCCACCTCCCCAAACCTGCTGGGGAGGTTACAAAGCTCTTCTGAAGGCAGAGAGAGTGACTTGTGGCCTAGGGATTTATTTATGCCGGTGTGGGGGGGGGGGGCTGTGGAGGCCAGGGGCCACCAGCTCAACCTTGATCTCTAAATGACCAGGCAGTTTTATCAGTAGTTTTAAAAGAAAAATTTTTGTGACATTTATGACTTTTCTGGAAGGTATGGCCTACTAGGAAGCGGGGGAAGGGTCCCTCACCCAACATTTATTTAGTACCTTCTCATTTGTAATGCGTGCTGGAAACCCAGACAGTGAATTAGTGTACAGACAGGAATCTAACTGCACTTCTTCACGCTCACGTCTTCCCCGAATCCCAGGCCTCTCCATCCCCAAGGCATCTGTGAAGGGAAGACAGATGCCCCTGAGCCTGCGATGGGTGTTTCCAGAGCGAAGCCAGGAGCAGCACAGGGAAGTGGTCTACACCTGTGCAGATTCCATTAGCCAAGTATCATGGGGGCGGCTGGGGCATCACTACCCCTGCAGCCTTTCTCTCTCTCTCTCTCTCTCTCTCTCTCTCTCTCTCTCACACACACACACACACACACACACACACACACACAAAGATCCTTTATAGGACTGCAAAGGAAAACCACTGCAACAAATATCTGTAGGTAAAACACACAAGGTTACAGTGCACACTGGAAGTAGAGGCTGGAGGACTGGGAATTCCAGGCTAGCCTGTGCTACACAGAGAAACCCTACACAAACCAAACTCCCTCATGAGGATGCCTGTTTGCTGAGTAAATCAATCAGTGAGTACTTCCTGGGCGGCTGTGTTTGACCTAAAGGACCACAGAAGGAACATTTCGGTCCTCACCCTGAGATGCCTGTCTTGCAGTCAGTATGCTCTGATGACAGAGAACTCAGAGGAAGGCTCTCAGACACAGCTGAGTCCCAGGGTTCAGCAAGGATCCCAAGCTGAGGTGAGCCGAAAGGGTGAGCCGAAACGGTGAGCCAAGGCTTCCTTCTCCACCCGTTCTTGTGCAGCTTTTGTGCACCTTCCCTACAAGAGATTTTTTCCCCCCATGGTACAGTGGATCTGTGTTTTGAGAATGACAGGAGACGGGATCATAGTTTACCACTGAGCCATACCCTAGCCCCTCACTGGGGGATTCTAGGCAGGAGCTCTACCACTGAGCCACAGTCCAGCCCCTCACTGGGGGATTCTAGGCAGGAGCTCTACCACTGAGCCACACCCCAGCCCCTCACTAGGGGATTCTAGGCAGGTGCTCTACCACTGAGTCACACTCCAGCCCCTCACTGGGGGATTCTAGGAACGTGCTCTACCACTGAGCCACACCCCAGCCCCTCACTGGGGGATTCTAGGAACGTGCTCTACCACTGAGCCACACCCCAGCCCCTCACTGGGGAATTCTGGGCAGGTGCTCTACCACTGAGTTGTTTTATCTCAAGCCCCACCTCTTTCTTTCTCTCTCTCTCCCTCCTGAATTTAGCTTGTAGCCTAGGCTGCCTTCATCATGCCATCCTCCTGCCTGAACCTCCAGAGTTTCTGAAAGGATAGGCTTTCAGCAGCACCAGTGTGTTTTTAAAGCTGTCCTTGCTTCTCTCTGCTTTGAAGGTCATCAGGATGGGGTCTTGCTATGTCTCATATGAGCCCGTATCCCTGACAGCCTCCCTGGCTCAGACCACACCTTGGCTTGCTGTTTTGCAAAGGCAGACCTGTGACACTTGAATTAAAATAGATACATAGGGTCAGGGGAGCGGTCAGTAGGAGGCCAGCGTTCCATCTGCAGGTTCTGGGGCCTGTATTGGGCTTGCTGTTGAGCTCCGTGATGTCATTCTCCAGTAGAGTCAGAGAGTCAGCCATTGTTGTTTACAGAGTTCTCTATGGCGGCAGTTCTCAACCTGGGGGTTGTGACCCCTTTGGTGGTCAAATGACCATTTCACAGGGGTCACCTAAGACCTTATGTTTACGTTCACATCATGATTCATAACAGTAGCAGAACTACAGTTATGCGGCAGCAATGAAAACAATTCTACGGCTGGGGGGGGGGGTCACCACGACAGGAGGAACTGTATTAAGGTGTCACAGCCTCAGGCAGGTTGAGAACGGCTGCTCTGTGGTGTTAGGGACAATAATAGAAGACGTCCTGGGGCTGAGGACATGGCTCTGTGGTGAAGAGCAAGTGCTGCTCTTGTAGACAACATGTGTTCCATTCCTAGCACACCTGGCAGCAACCCTCAACAACCTATAAGCCCAGCTCCAGAGACAGATGCCCTCTCCTGGCCTCCGTAGGCATTGCGCTTACATGTGCATACCCACAGAGACACATTATTTAAAATAAATACACATTATTTAAAATAAATCCTTTAAAAATTTTAAAGGAAGCTGGGCTGTGGTGGTGCACGCCTTTAATCCCAGCACTCAAGCAGCAGAGGCAGCCAGATCACTGAGTTTGAGTCCAGCCTGGTCTACAAAGAGAGTTCCAGGTCAGCCAGGGCTACACAGAGTACCCCTACCTTGAAAGAAAACACACACACACACACACACACACACACACACACACACACACACACAAACGTTTTAAGGAAAGATGGATCTGCCACTCACCACCTTGGCTGTTAACAGCCAGGTCCTAGGCATATGTCCAAGGGTAAAGCCTGAGTCCAGACTTGGAGGCACAGCACCACTGGTTGCTCCCACTGCACCCCAGCTGGGCAGGCTTCTTTGTGTAGGCTACCTCAGTTTCCCTGTTTACACTCCCAGTGGTACAGAATGATTGTGTGAATTGAAGGAAATCACAGAGTTGTACTCAGGAAATCTACCCTGGAGATAAACTGCTCTCACTTGTGTGGCTGCATGAATCAAGCCGGCTGGAAAATACTTGGATTGGTTGAAATCAGGGACAAAAAGAAAAGCAAAGACAGCTTTCAAAGAAGCCCCTCAAAAAATGCTTTCTGCTAAAGGAAATTGACAGGGTTTTGTTTAGATTTTATGCAGTGCTAGAGATTGAAGCCAGGGACTCACTCAAGTTAGACAAAGGCTCTATCACTAAGCCCTGCCTCCATCCCCTCACTGGGGGATTCTAGGCAGGGGCTCTACCACTGAGCCACACCCAGCCCCTCATTGGGGGATTCTAGGCAGGTGCTCTACCACTGAGCCACACCCAGCCCCTCATTGGGGGATTCTAGGCAGGTGCTCTACCACTGAGCCACATCCCAGCCCCTCACTGGGGGATTCTAAGCAGAAAATTATACTACGGAGAACACATTCCTGTCCCCAAAGAAAAACTTACAAGGAACAGATTCTGGCCTCTTCAGCCAGCAGATCGTGTAGGAGTAGCACCGTTCACAAACCACCTATAAAGAACACAGCCCGCATACATCCCCACAGCCTCCTCTAGGGACCCTGCTCTCTGGCCCAGTGGTTTTAACGGGGTGACAGTTTTCAGAAAGGTAACCTTCAGGCAGTGATTTGCTCAAGGGCTCAGAGATTATAACGGTCACTCTCAGATTTGTGTAATGGGTGGCCGTGGCTCAATTCCAAGAGTAATAAAAGCTCAGCGCCGGGGCCTGCTGCCGGGCAATTGCCCCCTCTTCCCGCCTCTGGCTCCTCCCCCTTCACCAGCACATCTGCTCCCTGTCACATGGCCGTCCACACATCCATTCCTAACTGGAAGATGCTCCTGACGGGCTGAGCAAGAGAAGGGTGTGCAAGCTTCGTTCCAAACCTTCCCTTATGCTTTAAGTTTTCGAACGCCATCCGCCGTGGAATACGCAGACATCAGCTTGAGGGCACCCCCGCCCTCACACTCTGCCCCGAAACCCTCTCACACCTAGAGGGAAGGAAGCCAGAAGCTGCCGGAACTCCTGCTTTCTCTGGCCACCGCCACCCCTAGTATTGACCTCATTGTTAGGAAGCAAGATGCTTTCCGAGAAGATCTACAGACCTGGAGCCAGGTGGTGAGGCTGCCGTCGCAGCTTCGCTCCCTGGGAGCTATGGGAACTCAGCAAAGTGCACATATTAGGCAAAACCATCCCAGGAGCCAAGGGGGTGTGGGTTCGGGGGGTGGGGGTGGGGAGGCTGGCTCAGTGGCCAAAGGCTGGTTGCTCTAGCCGAGGGCCTGCATTCTGTTCCCAGCACTCACATGGTGGTCCCCGACTCCAGTTCCAAGGTACCTGACACTCTCCCCAGCCTCTGTGGGTACTCGGTGCGTGCGTGGTACATATACACACATGAAAGTCAAACACTCATGGACTAAAAATAGAGACTGTGCTCAGTCCCAGCACTCAGGAGGCAGAGGCAGGTGGATCTCTGAGTTCGAGGCCAGCCTGGTCTACAGGACAGCCAGGGTGACACAGAGAAACCCTGCCATGAAAACAAAACAAAACAAACGTCTTGAAACAAAAAGGTTTCCTCCCATCCTGGGGAGATGGCTCAAAAAAGTGTTTGCCTCGAAAGCATGAAGACTAGAGTTCGATCCCTTGCACATATATACAAATCCGGTGCGTGTTGGGATGTAGTTTCAAGCTCAGGGCTGGGAG